TTAACCCTCCGAAATACAGCCGAAAATGGTTTTTTCGTTGATAATTGGTATTTGGCGGCCGATTTTTAAAATTAGACTATGTCATTATTTTTGTCTTGAGAAGCTTCACTTTTCGTTCTTATGTCTTTTTAAGCTTTGAAGTCGCGTTCGCATGATAAGGGCAGAAACAAAATTTTACCCCCCCTAAAGCATATTTTTTTCCTTACCAAACGAAAGTACTTAAAAATTCAAGAAAATGTTGCCTTCAAACTATATTACTAAAATAATCAACAAAAAAGTTATTTCACTTACAATATTTATTGCTACTTAAGCAAATTTTGGCGCGAATCAAGGCTTTTATATTGGTCTCGGCTTTCTAATTTTGCAAAAATGTGGCCCAGGCGCTTTTCATCAGTGACAGCACTTGCAGACTCACTAACAACACGCACAAACCGTTCGGTATTCTGGGAATGACAGAGGAACTCTAAAAAAAAATGATTTAAAAGTACTATAAGACCCGTGAAGTTTTTAGTTTGAAGATATTTACCTGGGATATATCACTTATGATTCATTTAATCACTATCTGTAACTGCAAAAGGGTTCCGTAATCTTAACTGACTCCAATCGATCATGCTGACATACGACTTACTTCAAAGTTTATTACGCATTTACCTTGACCGGAGCATTATATTCATAAGGATGTTTTTTTACATTGTAATAACTTTGAAGGAGGCTTTCAATGTTTCTCCGGAGCGTAGTTCTTGTAACTATAGGGATGTTTGCCTGCTGCCACAACTTTGAAATTGTGTTCATAACTATTGGCAAATATTCATTGAGACTTCGATTTTTTGGAACACTTGCAGAGCCGTAATATTTAAGGAACAAAAAATATTCAATAACACCACGTTTCGTAGGTAACATTTTAATATCAATATCGCGCTTAACGAAAGCCATTTTTAAATTGCACACACTGTTAAGTCACTTTTTAATTTTATTTCACCAGCACAATTTATGGTATTAATTATAAATTATTATTATCAATACGAAACAACAGGTTTGACTCACTTATTTACTTTGACTTCCACAATTTATAAAATTTATTGGCATGATTAAATTACAAGAGGTTAGCTCGCTATTGACAGCGTCAGTTTTGCACTCCCCGGGTTGCTGATGCGACGAAAACAAAGAGTATGAATTTGGGAAAAATCGTAGCAAAAATGTACCTAAATTGGTACGAAAGCAGTGAGATTAAATTTCCAACTAAGAAAACTGTTGGAGGAATTTGTGGGGGCGAATTTTGTTAGCTGACCTAACCATGGGTAAACGACTTCATAGCTTAAAAGGAAATGTGATGACATGTTAATTTTAAAAATCGGCCGTCAAATACCCAACTTTCAACGAAAAAACCTTTTCGGCTGTATTTCGAAGGGTTAAAAAAAAAATAAAATAAAAATTTCGAAATCCTCTCAGGTACATTTTTGCTACGATTTTTCCCAAATTCATACTCTTTGTTTTCGTCGCATCAGCAACCCGGGGAGTGCAAAACTGACGCTGTCAATAGCGAGCTAACCTCTTGTAATTTAATCATGCCAATAAATTTTATAAATTGTGGAAGTCAAAGTAAATAAGTGAGTCAAACCTGTTGTTTCGTATTGATAATAATAATTTATAATTAATACCATAAATTGTGCTGGTGAAATAAAATTAAAAAGTGACTTAACAGTGTGTGCAATTTAAAAATGGCTTTCGTTAAGCGCGATATTGATATTAAAATGTTACCTACGAAACGTGGTGTTATTGAATATTTTTTGTTCNATTATTTTAGTAATATAGTTTGAAGGCAACATTTTCTTGAATTTTTAAGTACTTTCGTTTGGTAAGGAAAAAAATATACTTTAGGGGGGGTAAAATTTTGTTTCTGCCCTTATCATGCGAACGCGACTTCAAAGCTTAAAAAGACATAAGAACGAAAAGTGAAGCTTCTCAAGACAAAAATAATGACATATCAATTTTAAAAATCGGCCGTCAAATAACCAAGTTACAACGAAAAAACCATTTCGGCTGTATTTCGGAGGGTAAAAAAAAAAAAAAAAAATTTTTCCAGAACCCTCTCAACATAATCTTTAAATTTAGGGGCGGACATTAGCAACTTTTTTTTTTGTATGGGGACCGACCCAGTCTAATGTACATATCAATATACATATAACTTCATGAATTTTTCAAACATCAGGCATGTGTTGAAAATTGTACTTAGCTAAAGGGCTACATGCCCAAAATCAGTGCTCCGTGTTCCTATTTAATTAAACTTCGTATATTTAATAATTTCTGCAAAATTTGACCATTTAATATTGATATTAACATAATTTTCCGCATTGTTTACATATTTTCCTATGCGTTTTGGCATTTCTCTCTCGCAATTGCATCAAGATGAACTCACGCAAAAATTACACTCAAAAATCCTCTCTCAAGGGCGCAATTTTGTATTCTATCGTTCTTGGCTCATATGTGATTTTGTCGTGATAGCGTAAAGCACAGTATATATAGAAATAAACCTTTTTGAGTACTCTTCGGGGGTAAAATCTGATCAGGGTTGATAATGAGAAGTAGCATGAAATTTGTTGATTCAGGGTTGTATACAAAATTACTGTGATTATTAAAAGGAGCAACAATCGTGCTATGGCAAAGTGGCACAAGACATGACTGTATAATAGTGACCGAAATTAATTACAAAAGTGTAAAAAATTGCAAATTATTCTCTATTACTATAGATACTAATACAGATCATCATAGTTCAGTATTTAACTGGTTAAATAACACCGTAAATGATAATGAACTGTTAAATATTGACAACGCTAGTATTTAAACCAAATTTACGTAAAAGTTGCGTTCCGGATGCTTCACGATTTGCAGATGTTAGAGGATTTGCAGGAAAAGCTGTTTTCTCCTAGGGAATTTCATATCCAGCTTGTTGCCAGAGGCAGTGACTCATTTAATGGGTCGATTATGGGAGACAACGCAACCGCAGTTGGGCTGCCGATGGGCAACGCCACTGAAATGAAAATGTATATTATGAATAGGAACTATAGTTAAGTTCTATTAAATTGAAAGTGTAAATAAGCTGAAGAAACAGTTGAAAAAAGAAATAAATTACCTCAATCAAAATTTCTGCGGCAACCACAAAAATGTAGTTGCCAATATAGCAACTCGGTTGCTAGCTTTCAGTTGCCAGTTCCATCTGTAATACCATTTCAGCCACTGGCTACCCAACTGAAGTTCGTTTGCAATTCGTAATCGACCCATTAATCTACTCATCATGTTGGAGCAGCTCCGGGTAGTGGACCATTGAATGTGGCTGAAGTTA